GGGGGGAAGGAAAGTAAGACCTGATCACTTTGCTCTCTTGACAGAAAGACCCTGTCCAGACCCTGTTTTGCAGGCTTGGTCACGAAACACAACTTGTTAGGCAAACACCGCTGCTTGACATAACACAATATTAGAGTGTTTTGACGGCGCTTCAGGAAATAGCCTGTACCCATGAAAAAAGGGATGCCTAAATAGTGTGTGAAAGTATTCATGTTTGCAGTTTAAAGGGTGGCTCTGGCTAAATCACAGGTGTGCTGCAGTTCTTGTACGCATGACAGGCTAATATGAAAGAGAAAAAAGCGATAAATGTGACTGTTGGATGTGTGATTCACACCGCCGTAAAACTGTTTACAGCAAACAAGAAATGGAAAAAAAAAAAAATCAAGAATGTGATTAATTAATGTTTTCCAGGTCAGTGATATGACAGGTGATGTAACAAAGTCGCAAGCTTTTGATGACGTTTCGATATCAATCAGGATTTTTTAAAATTTTATTTCAGTGTCATAACAAAACAGTAATTTAATTACTGACGCTTCATGCCAGTAATGTTTCTACTCGTTCCCCACACCAACAGATCTACTTGTTTGTCGTAAAGTACTAAAGATAAAATAGGTTTGAAGGTTTAATTCTAAAATTGTGTTAACGTTTGGCATTATAATCTTGATGGGCTGCACTTCCGTATCTCTCCACGAACCATTATAATCCTGGAAAATGTTAATATTTGATACTTAAATATAATGCACTAATTGAAAAGGGTTTTAAGTGTTTTTTTTAAATCTTTTGTAGAGTATAATAATGCTCTTAATCATGTGAAGAGCTCTTCAAAATGTGTTATGAAGTTGTTTTAAAAGTTTAACAAAAGCAACAACTTGTGTATCTGTGAATAATTTAAAATGATACATCACTCATAAACGAATGTTGCATTTCATTTAACTGTGAGGTTCACCCTTTTGATGGTTTTGCTTGTCCGAGGCACTGCCAACATTTAGCAAGTAGAGAGACTCAGCATAGACAGTTACTGTTTTATTTGCTTTAAACAAAAAATGGAAAACATCACCACAGATTTTTCTTAGGTTTAGGTTGAAACAATTATTTTTTGTTTATATGTGAAAGACTGGTCTGATTTGCTAATCATCTTTTATTATAACTTTTTTTTTATTTTAGTGTTTTTGTTTAGACTAGCTGAAAAAAACCCCACGTCTACCTGTCATTCATGTGTCATTTATTGGTTACGTCCCAAAGTTTGAATGTTGATGCTTTATTCTGCTGTAAACAATTTATATTTCACACATACATGAAGATCACAATTTCATTTTAGAAATGTGCATTTTTTTCCTTTTTTTATTATGCCACGGTTCCGTTTTATTGCTTTTTTTAAATCAGTAAATAAGAGAGTCAAGGGACACATCTTTCTGAGATGTTTTGTCCTCTATTTCTCTCGTAAAACCTAAAATAATAGCTGAAGTCATTTACTTTTGACAAGTTGGAGCTCATGCACTCTTGTAGCACGCTGTTAGCGTGAGTGCAGTCTAATTTTTAAGGTTGTTTATCATAGACCAAATGGACTTCTGCCATCTAATTATATTTGTATGCTGTGACACCACTTCCCTTTCTTATTTTTCCACAGAGAAGTGTACCAACTAAGTTCAATAATATCGCAAGAAATTACTAAAAAGATGAAGATATAAAGTGACTCAATTAAAAATATTTTCCGTTGAAGATTTATTTTGTCACTTGACTGTAAAATACAGATGAGTGTTAAAGTTAGAGGGATTTTTGGCGTCGTATCTGAAAAAGACCAACAGTTTTTGGTCTTAAGATTAATGATTAATTACATATTTAAGACATGCTTTAATAAATAATTTATCAAAAGTTACAGTAAACCTTAAAGCTTTTGTGTTTATTGGTAATTGTACATTTTAGTTAGGTGCTGCATGTATATTGTTTAACAGGGTAACATTACAATGGAGAACATGCTGCTGTTGCGATATTCATGTTTTTATTTTAAGATGAGGACATCATTTGCAAATACTTTTCTCAATCTACTCTTTGTATTTCTTAAATAAATAATATTAACGGTTTATGTAATTTCCCCACCGCCTTACTCGTGCGTAAGCATTTTGCCCTCCAAAATCTTTGTCAAGGTCTAGTGAGTGTCTGTTCAGCTGGCCATGTTTGTTATCTTATTGCAGAGTTGTAATGTATCTCACTTTAAATATAACGTCATGCAAAACTGCAACTACTATGTTAGGCTAATGATTGCAATTTGATCAATTGTGCAGCTCTAACTTTTGGTGTAAGTTTTAATAGTCTGATTTTAAAAGGCTTTGGATTAAAGTAACAAAATTGTTACTTTTTAAAGTCCACCAAATTTAACTTTGGTAGATTCTAGCAAGATTAAACCAAGCAATGTGCTTGTTCCTTAAAGAGCTGGCAGGGGATCTAGAGTCAGTCAGGTTCCCTTTTTCATTCATTTCATGTCTTCTCTTGCAGTTTTATGAGACGCTGGCCAGAGGGATGAACTCAGACCAGGAAAGGCCATTCGTGTGCAATGCTCCTGGCTGCTCTCAGGTTAGTGTATATCTATAAACGCATATCTGGGGAGAGTCACACAGGATGTCTATGTGCACATGTCTACTTAACAGCACACAGAGCAAAGAGCAAATCTAATTACAAAGTAAACAGCCAGAGTATGATATTTAGCGCTACACCAGTTATCTAGCATCTATTTTCTAGTTTAAGAGGTTCCTCCAACTTATTTTTGCTTTGGTCTAAACTAAAGGCAATTGTCTAAAGTACCCTGTTTTCCTTTCCATTAACTGTTCTTGCTTTTTTTTCTTCCATATACCTCCTGGTCTTAAAATCAAACAGCGTTTTCCCACGGAGGACCATCTGATGATTCATCGCCACAAACATGAGATGACCCTTAAGTTCCCCTCCATAAAAAACGACAACATGTTATCAGGTGAGTTACGTCGGCATCAGTGCAGACCGATTTGCTTCTGCAGCCCAGCAAGTTTCTGATGCAGAGGTGTGCCACAAGTGACTCAACCACAGACATACTCATCTGTCATCGCAAACCTTTATGGCTAGTCCTATACGAGCTGTTTAAGGTAACGTAAATCATACGGTTTGTTAGCCTACGGCTCAGGAACTTGCTCTTCCTACCATTTGTGGTCACCATATTGCGCTTCTTTTCCTGTATAGCACTTTGAGTAATTTACATCTTCAATTTTTTTTTATTTTTTAGGTGAGTTTTAATTTTTAAGTATAAGCGATTAAATTCACCTTACCTTGAGGTGTTGTAGACTATGCCTCTCCAGCTATTGCCTAGCTAAACCAGATTCTATCCTCTTTATTATTTACACCGTTTGGACTACAGGATCAGCTTTTGCAGGCCGAGTGTCTCATAGTCTTCTGTCTGTGTTACAAATTCTCTGAATTACATGTCAAACTCAGGAGAAAATGGTCAGCACTTTACCATTACCCATAAGCTGGAGCTTAGTCACACATGGTAATGTGTCTAAACAGTCTCCTTAGCTTTAAAATAAAGTGAACAGCGTTTGCTTTTCACTGGGCAGCATCCTGGATAAAAATTAATAGCTTCCTTTTTTTTGTTGTTGTTCTTTTTTTTTAGTTAGAGCTTAAATTAATATCTCACTCTTACTCTGAATAAAACTGTATTTTGGGTTCACTAGTCATATTGAGAGTTTGTGTCAATCCCCAGTCTAGCCAGAATGAGTAAACAGACCATGAAGCATGCTTTTAGCCTTTGAAAGAACCGTGATCCTAAAATCACCTTCAACTGTCTGAAACCTGATATGTGGGCACCCCCTCCACCCCCCGTCCCGAGAACGTCAAGCTGAACGCTGCAGCTTTCAGCTTTCAGCTGAGACCCCCCTGTCAGCGGGAGGAATCTGTTCTTTGTCGGTAAAAATGGTGCTGTCAAGGGAGCATCTCCCTCTCTAATGCTTTTTTAAAAACCAAATGGGTGATGGTAACTTAGAGTGCCTTCAACCCATAGAAACCTTTTCTTGTTATGAGACAATGTCTTTTATTTGTCAATCCTCTAATTAAATCTATTGCAACAAATTTCTCAAGTTGCTTTATTAGTAAATGTAATCTACTTGTGCTTAGTTTAATCTCAGTATAAAAATGAAGACTTCTAAGGTGAACAGATTCATGAAGACCAAGAAACACAGCAGTCAGGTCCGGGATAAAGTTGTGGAAAAGTTTAAAAGAGGATTTTGTTATAAATAAATCATCTGGAAATAGAAAAACCGAGGTGCAAACCTACTAAGACATGAACCTACACCTTGATTAGGAAGCCTGAATAAGTCCTATTTGCAGTTTTCCAAAAGCCATGAAGGGACCCAGCAATAATGTGAAAGAAGGTCTTGCTTTCAGATGCGACCAAAGTAAAAAGCATGCGTGGAGGAAAAATAACACTGGACATAACAATGAACACATCATGCTGAGGTGATGCTTTTCTTCACAAAGGAGAGGGAAGCTGGTCAGAGTTGACATGAAGATGCTCTGAGCTTAACTCAGACCAATCCTGGAAGAAGACCGATTAGTCTTGAAACTGATGCCAAAGTTCACCTTCAAACTTGATAACAACCTTAATGGAAGGGTGTAGAACAAGTTATATTCATTTGTTGGAATTGTCTTGCCAAGCCTCATTGAGAATGTGGAAAAACCACGTATTCTTTGCCTTCCATCTCTCAATTACTCACTCCTTTGTGTTTTTTAGTCACATAAAATACCAATAAAATAATTGAGGTTTGTGGTTGTAACATGACGAAATGTGGAGAACGTCTGGGGGGGGTGAGAGGGGGTGAATACTTTTAAAAGCACCATATATTCTGTAAACCTGAGGGGGAGGGGGGACCATTAGCTTAATTTCAATATAATTCCAAGTATACTGGAATATGTTTCTGTCATCATTTCATTTATGTTGGAAAGGATGTTACTTCTCTTGCAGACACGATATTCTGCGGTGTGTCGGTTTTTGTTTTATTGCTAAATGTTTCCTTCAAGACAAAGCTTGAGAACAATTTCTTGCCAGCGCGCATGCACTCGTGTAGCCTGGTGGATTAAATAGTATTATCAACTGTTAGGACGCCGAGTGTTTTAAGATCGACAAAATGTTCTTTGACTTCCAGACCAGACGCCCACGCCGACCCGATTCCTGAAGAACTGCGAAGAGGTCGGACTGTTCAGTGACCTGGACTGCTCCATTGAGCAGGACTTCTGCAAAGCGCAAGAAGAAGAAGACAGTAAGCAGGTACTGCAAAGCAGAGGGGAAAGCCTCAGGCTGAAAACCCAGAAAAACCCAAAGCCACAACCCTCCACCAGGGTTGGGTTTTAAACCGCTATCGGTGCAACCATCTGTCACAAATAGATGCCTACACCATGTGAGCTGATAAAGCCTCTCAAATAGATTTAAGAAAACACCCTAAAACCTCACCTAACCACACTGCTCCCTTTTAAGAAGCCGATGACCACAAATGTTTGTGCACTATATTATCCCTTCCTCTATTCTCACCCTTTTTTTTTGTTTAAGGTATGTATTAGTCAGTCGTGACAGACGAGGTCTAACAGATAAAGATTTGTCATCCACCTCAGATGAAGAGAGACCTCAGATCAGATTCTTCACCTGTAATTTCGAGCAGCTCCTCAGTCGTACTCTCAGGGGAGGGAGTCACATTTCTTCCAAGAAATAAAGTCAGACCACTGAGGCAGCATCTTGGCTGTAACAGCAAAACCAGACAAACTGGCCCGACTGTCCTGCATGAAAGCGGAGGTCCAAAATGTTACATCCGCCAGAGGACATCGTCGTTTATGCGCTATAGCTCTGCCCTGCGGCACCTTCACCCGGGACATGGATACTAGTCAAATCAGCAGAAGACAGACTGCTTATTTAACGTCTGGGAACATGTGCGGAGCATGCTGCAGCTAAGCTGTTTTCTGGGAGTTTGGCTCAGGAGCCTGTCTGTGTTCAGGTCAGCCATGTCTAGCCTGCCCAGCCTGTGTGATTTATGACGGGAGGCTCTGCTAAGTCAGCAGGAGGCGAGTCGGAGCAAGACGATGTAGGAGTAAAATGCACAATAGGCAGAGATAAGCAGCGAAAGCTCTCAAACACCTGAAACGCTGAAGTTAACCAGCAAAATGAAAAAAAAAAAAAAAAAAAAACCCATCACATGAGTATGTATTGTGCAACAGTGCATTTTGATTAGGCAAGTGATTTTATTGTGTGTTTGTTTAACAAGTTTACTCTTCTACTAATGTTTTAATATTTAAACTACAGTTATCTTAGGTTTGTTTATGCGTTTCACTAAAACTAAGGAACAACTTGTGGTTTTTATGTTTTTTTTGTTTAATTTAATGATTAAATTAAAGTGGATCTACAGTGCCACTCACAGGTTTAAATAGCCTTATCAACAACATCATTGTGGATCTTTAACTTTGTTTTAACGGTTCTTTTTCTGGGCTGTTATAGAACTACGATTGTCGTGATTTAAAGCAAAGTCCTTCAATTTTAAAAACAAGAAATGACTGAAAATTCATTTTAGGTGCTTCGCTCTGATCAAAACAAATTGAAGGTTTTACATACATACTCATGTTTAGTTAAATGTCCCCGAGCAAGCTGTAGGAAAACCGCATCGTTTTTGTGGTCATGAACGAGCTTCTGACATGATTCTGTCAGGATATCGCTCATCTTGTCAGAAAATGTAGATTTCATGTAAGTCTGTTGGATTCCAGGAGCTGATCTAATTTTTAGGCATAAAGTTTCAATCGGGTTGAAGTCAGGACCAGCTCAAAGGTTTAATGTTACAGATCTGTGATACTTTGACAACCAGGCGTTAGCAGAAGGATAACGACTGAAAACACACTTTAAAAATGATTTCGGAAGGATGAACAGCTTCTAAATAAAATGTCCCTGACCTCAAACTTGGTGAAAACGGATAACGCTTAAATAGCAGGTCCATGCCAGGACACAATTTATTTGCTTTTGCCAGGGAGTTCATACAAGGCTAGGCCTTGCTAATGGCTCCAAAACGTTTCTCTGCAACTTTCTAAAAATGGTTCAAATTTAAAAGCCAAAAATTAAAGTGACATTTGTGCCAACGATGTAAGTACTTAACATTCCAAAACTTTACGAACCCATTGAAGGGACCACCACATGAAAAAAAAAAAAAAGACACACCATATAAGATGTAAAATGTTGTTAAACCAGAATTATTTTGCAATGGCTGTTATTATACATGACTGAGCCTTCAGAGTTTCCAAGCAACCTGGTCTTCATTACACTGTCAGCATGTCCCAAATGGAACGTGGAAAACCTTGTAGAGCATAGTTTACATCCGTTACAGCTTAAAGATGGGTGTGTGAGGAAGAAAAGTTAAATGGTTGCAAATCTGCACACTTGTGCTTCAAACTCATTCTTAACCTCATGTGCAACCTTTGCTTTTCTCTCTCTTTCTCTCTCTCACTTCCTCTTTGCAGAACATCGCACTGCATGGTCAAGCAGGTCAAGGTCAGCACCAGCAGTCCCACGCACGGATGGCCAACCATGATACCAGCATAGTGATCCAGCAGGCCCTTCCCTCTCCCCAGTCCAGCTCAGTTATCACTCAGGCTCCTTCCACCAACAGACAGATAGGGTGAGTGAAACACAAAACCAAAAAAAAAGAAAAAAAAAAAAAGAAAGAAATTAGCACAAACAACAGACTCTGTTAGTCTGTTTCTCTTTCTTTGTTGTTGTTGTTGTTGTGCCATTTACGTGAAGCGCATGTTTTGCTACGACAGACAAGGGCGTAGTAAGAAAGTTTTGCCATAAAACAAATGATCTAACAAGTGGCAGATTGTATCCTCTCACCTCAAGTGTGGCCCTGTTTGGTGACAGCTTTAGGCTGAGCCTCGTCCTTTGTGTTCGTGCCAGCTGTCATCCCTCTGTCGTCTGTGAGGTAATGTTAGTGTTTAGTTACATTTCAGGCGCTGTATGTGGGGCCAGAAAATCATGTTTTACTGTTCATTCGAGGTTGTCTCAGAGCAGAGCATGCCAAAGGTCTCAGAGGATTAGATGAGGTTATTTCTCAAGCCTCAGTCGTGAGTGTCTTTATAATGGTTTAGCATTTTCATGTTTGAAAATATAGGTGTTGTTTTTTTTAAATCTGTGTGAGAATTTCGGTCACCATCACACAACTGCAAATGGGAAACGTAGCTCTAAAGTAAATAATCATGAATTGAGCATTTATTGTGTAGCTGGTTGTTTAGACTACAGACTAATCTTTGTACAGGCATAATCTGACCCTGTAAAAAATTTTTACCACATTTTTTTAATAATACATCACAAAGGTATTCCTACCCTTAGATGTTTTCCCCATCTTGTCCAACCAGTGAGGTTAGATGTGGATCGACTGGGGAGACAAATTTTCAGGTCTCGCCACAGAATCTGAGTCTGGCCTGTGACTGAGCCTTTCTAACAGATGAATATCTCAGGCGTATGGTTTTGCAGCCTCTAGCAGATTTCCATCCGGTTTCGCCCTTTATTTAGCTGCACTCCCAAACTGTGGATCTATGCAGTTCTCTCCAGCGCTAACATGTGTCTCTTGGCTGCTAATCACTTAAAGCTCTCCTTGTCTGGCCTGTAAACTTAGTGAAATGCCATGTTGTACCATGCATCGCTTTTCTTTTTCATTCTCTAGATTTTGGGTCAAGCAGCATTTTGCAAGGAGTTCACACCTTCGGGGTTTTGCTTTATCGCCTAATCCGGCTTCAAACTTCATACTTTTGCCCTTTGACAACCACTAACTTGTCTTACTTCAGTCCTTATGCGTTAGCTCCAGCTGCACTGACACTTTTGCCAGGGCTTTGTCATTGTAACCCAGGCCTGTGGCTACCTAGTTAAACATTGAGATGGCTCAGTGTTAAGCTGGTCCCTGTGTTCAAGTTGTCCTGTGTAGATTTACAGCTCGAGGAGCTGCTGAATATTGGATGGGAGGCCCATCTCTAAGCCTGACTGACACCTCGTCAGGCTCTTTGTTGAGCACAGAGATGGAATTTCATCCCCTCAGAGGAGCAGCAAATCACTGCCAGTAACAGAGACCTCGCTAGGCGCTGCTTCACCTGAGTTCACCTGTCAGTACGAACGCCCTGCCTCTCTGATGCACAATTTCTCTGCCTGTCATCATGTCATCACGGCTTGCATATGCCGCGTATCTTAAGCAATTTGGTGAGAAATTTGTACTTGTTAAATAACGTCACACAGGAGCAAGAGAGGGCAACCAAAAAAAGTCACTTCTTCTGTGACGTGGTCTATGAGAAAACCTTGCTGCTCATCCACGTGATGAATCTGTGGAAGTGCAGTTTGTTTACAGCGATTAATGAATCCTGACACATGGATAGGAAGAGTTGATCTACACAGGAGAAAAGCGAGCTGGAAAGTTTTACATCAGCAGGATGTAAATCAGTGCTTCCACAGGAAGACATTTGGACTTACCAAAGTCTTTGTGCACAGGATCTCTTTACAAGGACACCCAACATGAAAAACGGTGCTTTGCAAAATCTGAAACAGTTATCCCAGCAGTGATTCCCTGTGACGAGCTTAAATATCCAAGTTATCCAGTAACAATGCAAAACGAATGATTTTTGCTCTGATTTTCTTTTTCTGATTTTGAAAAATTCGAAAAGAACTTTATTCCTTATCAACCAAAAGTACTTTTTTAAACTGTGAAATACATAGCGGTCGCCCTCGTCAACAATGGCGAGGTGCATCTATGCCTCTGTCATGAAGCTTTAAATACTGCTACACTTTAAGCAGCTGTTCGTTACTAAAGGAGACTAACGATATGAATTTAATCTCACTTCACTCCGCTTCCTCATTTTGCTGCGTACAGAGTAAGCGTCCAATGAATTATTATAACAAGTCATTTTCATTGCTTCACAATGTTTACTAAAGAGCTTTGAGGCTTGGAATCAATTAGGATTGGTTTTCCTCAAGACCATTTAATTCAGGACCGAGTCGAGCCTGCAGCTGTGAAACCCGAGGACTGCTCTCGTTCTCTTTTTCTCTCCTTTCCTCTGCTCCGAGTCCTCGAGCTGGGTCTTTGGGGACCGTCGCTGACACAAAACAGCGTTAAAATCAGGCATAAGAAACAGCCAACAGATCCTAGCGCCGCAGCCCGTGTCAGTTCCTACGGAAGGCTCTGAATGCCCTCTGCCTTTCTGATCACACACAGCTGGTGCTGAGTAATGTCCCGGTTAACCATGTTGGACAGTCCTGGACAACCACGTGAGATGCAGAGTTTTGTGGAAACCTCAACCTTTTGACTTGTAATAAGTGGAGATCTGAGCAGAGATGGGTGTGGGCACAAACTATTAAATGTGACATCCTTCTTTTTTTTTTCTTTTTTTTCCTCGGCTCTTCAGAATAATTTAGTCCAGTTGTTTGTTTCCATTACTCATTACAGTAAAGATGAACACAGACACTTTAATTTAAAAAAATTGCCATCCACGTGCGGGAAATTATCACTTATTTATGCAATATTTGAAGACATCTTTAAATGTTTTCTGCAATGTGTTTCCTTCTAATGCTTTTCTATGACATAAAACTAAACATGTCAGTTATGTAGATTAAGACTTTGGATGACCATAGCCATACGTTCTTTTAATATTTGATTTAGATTTTATTTCACAGACCAGCACAAAGAAGGACATTATTACAAAGAGGAAATGATGCATGGTTTCTGAGTTTTCTTTAAATGAAATTTCAGAAATTCATGTGAGAAACAAATACTGCATGTAGCAGAAGGTTCTCTGGTCAGCAAACACTGACCAGAGGAACATGATGGCGGCAGCATCATGCCACCATCATCATGGGGAAGGGGCTGGTCTTGGTTAATACATGGCAAAAATAAAAAAACAAAGCAGTAAAATCTGTTAGGAAATCCAAAAGACTTGAACTTGCTTGAATTGTAGTGTTTTCATGGTATGTGAAAATGAACGCAATTGAGAATCTGTGATGCAGGAGTTGGAATTTAATGTCCACAGATACTCTGGATTAACTTGAGGCATTTTATAAAGACTGGACCTACACTTCAGTGTCTAGATGACCAAAGCTGGTAGAGACATAACCCAGAAAATCTGCAACTGTAATTGTTGTAAAAAGTTGTTTTACAAAGTGTTGCCTCTGAGGCCCTCTATACTTTTTAGATTTTCTTCCATTTCACAATTAGCCCCTATTTTGTGTTGGTCTTATAAAATGCTGATTAAAAACATTAAGCTAGTTAGCTAAATTAGATATAATACTAATAAAGATGCATGGATAGTTTTGCAAGGCTCTGTTGGTTAGTAGGTGCCAAACTCTGTACAGCATGAGCCAGTGATTCATCATTTACCACCAGTGTGTGAAATTACAAGCTGCAACCCTCCAACCACTGAATTAGTATGTCCTTCAGCTTTGGTTTGTGACCATCTAACCAGCATAGGTTTTGTTGAAGACTTTGTTTAGTGCTTCTAATCAAATAGCATAGTCATATTATACTTGCAGAAATGTGCAAATCTAAAACCAGTACGAACTCGCCATCCACAGTGCTCATTTAGAGTTTGCCTCCTCCCCGCAGACAACCTTTGAGCTTTCTTTTAGATGTCACATTTATAGCTTAGGTTGCATTATTGGTGATGTTCCACCCTGGGTGCACTGCATGCACCATGTCGAGCTTTGTAGGAAGTCATATCGTGGTTTTGTTTCCCATGCTGCTTTAAATGCACACAATTTTTCACACCTTAATCGCCCAGCTACTTGTGGTCCTGCTTTTTGCCTTTCAGGGAAGTAGCACAAATACATGCTCATCTTCATGCGAAGACCCGGGTGACAAATAGGTTCGCTGCAAGCCTCTTTGCAGAGAGATTTGGTGGTACGGCTACTGATTATTTAGGACCATGGTTTGCTGTCGGTTAGTGACGTCGGTCAAGTGTCTGATTTATACAAGAAAGGCTTGGAAGGCGCTTTTTTTTTTAGTGATTAAGCTTGTGCTGTTTCTGTGGTTATTTGAATGTAAGATTCTTTTGTTGATTTTTTTTGTACAAAATATTTGTGCATTGGAGTCCCCTTTTTCTACATGCATACTAATAAACTGTATCGGCTCACCTATGCAAATACAATGGCAGGTAAAAAGAAATGCTTCCCATAGAGAAAACATTGACTTTATGGTGTTCACCATTCAAACCAAACCATCCCATTCTTGTTTGTGATTAGATATGTTTCTCAAAATTGTGTGAAGGATGAAGGCCCATCCTCTGTAAAAGTGTAGGGTCTTTACATCTAAAATGTGGGCTCCGTTTGCACATTGGATGTAATGCGCAGAGTTAGTCAAGCACTAGACAGACAGATGTATCTAGGGTAATAAATTGCAAAAATTAAAAGACAGCGAGAAAGCAGGATGTACATCTGACCTGAATTAAGATGAGCTCATTGTGTACTTCAGCGGGTTTAATAGTGCGTTTGTAGAGGAACGCCCAGACTCTGTTCCCCTCTCATTCCAGCGGGCCTGTGTCATCTCTGCCCCGGGGCCACCACACATGCAGGCTCCTGCAAACGCAGCTCACACATAGGGATGTGCCTTGCTTCTCCTGGGGTAAGTGCAGGGATCGCAGCGAGGGG